AATGCAAAAATTTTATTACAAATCAAAATTTTTTCTTTATTCCAGGCTCTTGAATTTTTTTTTTGAAAAAGTACATGTTCTAAAAGAGTTGCACTGAGAGCGCACCTTTCCTGACAATTGACAGATAAACAATGCTTTAAACGTCAACTGTCATGAAACATGCACCAACTGTTCGAAGTTGCAGTGATTTTAATTTCAATTTGTAATCGTCTAGAATACAAAAATTTCATCACAATTCAAAATTTGTTCTTTATTCCAGGCTTTTGAATTTGTTTTTCGAAAAAGTACATGTACTAGAAAAGTTGCACTCTAAGCGCACTTTTTCTGACAGTTGACAGATAAACAAAGCTTTAAACGTCAACTGTCATGAAACATGCACCAACTGTTCGAAGTTGCAGTGATTTTAATTTCAATTTGTAATCGTCTAGAATACAAAAATTTCATCACAATTCAAAATTTGTTCTTTATTCCAGGCTTTTGAATTTGTTTTTCGAAAAAGTACATGTTCTAGAAAAGTTGCACTCGAAGCGCACTTTTTTTGACAGTTGACAGATAATCAATACTTCAAACGTCAACTGTCATGAAACATGCACCAACTATTCGGAGTTGCACTGATTTCAATTTCAATTTGAAATCGTCTAGAATGCAAAAAATTCATCACAAATCAAAATTTTTTCTTTATTCCAGGCTCTTGAATTTTTTTTTTGAAAAAGTACATGTTCTAAAAGAGTTGCACTGAGAGCGCACCTTTCCTGACAATTGACAGATAAACAATGCTTTAAACGTCAACTGTCATGAAACATGCACCAACTGTTCGAAGTTGCAGTGATTTTAATTTCAATTTGTAATCGTCTAGAATACAAAAATTTCATCACAATTCAAAATTTGTTCTTTATTCCAGGCTTTTGAATTTGTTTTTCGAAAAAGTACATGTACTAGAAAAGTTGCACTCTAAGCGCACTTTTTCTGACAGTTGACAGATAAACAAAGCTTTAAACGTCAACTGTCATGAAACATGCACCAACTGTTCGAAGTTGCAGTGATTTTAATTTCAATTTGTAATCGTCTAGAATACAAAAATTTCATCACAATTCAAAATTTGTTCTTTATTCCAGGCTTTTGAATTTGTTTTTCGAAAAAGTACATGTACTAGAAAAGTTGCACTCTAAGCGCACTTTTTCTGACAGTTGACAGATAATGCTTTAAACGTTAACTGTCATGAAATATGCACCAACTGTTCGGAGTTGTACTGATTTTGATTTCAATTTAAAATTGTTTTGAATGCAGAAATTTCATCACAATTCAAAATTTGTTCTTTATCCCAGGCTCTTGAATTTGTTTTTCGAAAAAGTACATGTTCTAGAAAAGTTGCACTCTGAGCGCACTTTTTTTGACAATTGACAGATAAACAATGCTTTAAACGTCAACTGTCATGAAACATGCACCAGTTGTCCGAAGTTGCACTGATTTCAATTTCAATTTGAAATCGTCTAGAATACAAAAATTTCATCACAATTCAAAATTTGTTCTTCATTACAGGTCCTTGAACTTGTTTTTTGAAAAAGTACATGTTCTAGAAAAGTTGCACTCTGAGCGTACTTTTTCTGACAGTTGACAGATAAACAATGCTTTAAACGTCAACTGTCATGAAACAGGTACCAACTGTTCGAAGTTGCAATGATTTTAATTTCAATTTGAAATCGTCTAGAAATCAAAAATTTCATCACAATTCAAAATTTGTTCTTTATTCCAGGCTCTTGAATTTGTTTTTTTGAAAAAGTACATGTTCTAGAAAAGTTGCACTGAGAGCGCACTTTTCCTGACAATTGATAGATAAACAATGCTTTGAACGTCAACTGTCATGAAACATGTACCAACTGTTCGGAGCTGCAATGATTTTAATTTCAATTTGAAATCGTCTAGAATACAAAAATTTCATCACAATTCAAAATTTGTTCTTCATTACAGGTCCTTGAACTTGTTTTTTGAAAAAGTACATGTTCTAGAAAAGTTGCACTCTGAGCGTACTTTTTCTGACAGTTGACAGATAAACAATGCTTTAAACGTCAACTGTCATGAAACAGGTACCAACTGTTCGAAGTTGCAATGATTTTAATTTCAATTTGAAATCGTCTAGAAATCAAAAATTTCATCACAATTCAAAATTTGTTCTTTATTCCAGGCTCTTGAATTTGTTTTTTTGAAAAAGTACATGTTCTAGAAAAGTTGCACTGAGAGCGCACTTTTCCTGACAATTGATAGATAAACAATGCTTTGAACGTCAACTGTCATGAAACATGTACCAACTGTTCGGAGCTGCAATGATTTTAATTTCAATTTGAAATCGTCTAGAATACAAAAATTTCATCACAATTCAAAATTTGTTATCTTTATTCCAGGCTCTTGAATTTGTTTTTCAAAAAGTACATGTTCTAGAAAAGTTGCACTCTGAGCGTACTTTTTCTGACAATTGACAGATAAACAATGCTTCAAACGTCAACTGTCATGAAACATGCACCAACTGTTCGGAGTTGCAATGATTTTAATTTTAATTTGAATTCGTCTAGAATACAAAAATTTCATCACAATTCAAAATTTGTTCTTTATTCCAGGCTCTTGAATTTATTTTTCGAGAAGTACATGTTCTAGAAAAGTTGCACTATGAGCGCACTTTCTTTGACAATTGACTGATAAACAATACTTTAAACGTCAACTGTCATGAAACATGCACCAACTGTTCGAAGTTGCAGTGATTTTAACTTCAATTTGAAATGGACCTATCTTTTTTTACCTTGACTGCGCGCGCAGCTCGTGGGTTGCAGGTGAGCGTCCAATGAGAAGCGAGTTTGTTATGGGCTTGCGTCATATTCTTTATTCAGGGGCCAGTTCAGAATTAATCGTTTCTTCTTTCTTTGTAACGTGTAATTTGACAAAGAGCAAACAAACATTTTACGTATAACTTCTGAACTCACTGTAGTTTCGTTTAAAATTATGTCAGATTATCCTTGACATATTCATTTCCACTTTCATTGTGCGATGTTGCCTGATGAAACATTTATGAAAATAAAAGTGCAAACGATGTTAACATACACTTTAAAGCGCTTACTTTCCTTTGATTTGAAGCAGTGTAAAACGCGTTGTAAAAAATCGCTTTTTTATTGGTATAAGTTCGATTTGTATTGTCTACATTTGTTCTGCAACAATACAAACTGGCTACACTGCAACCCACTAGTTGCGCGCGCATGTCATCTTTCATTACTTTTCAACTCCTATTTATTACAATTAAGCTATCTTTTTCTATTTATGCGAGACAGGTCAATTGTCTAGAATACAAAAATTTCATCACAATTCAAAATTTGTTTTTTATTCCAGGCTCTTGAATTTTTTTTTTTTTTGAAAAAATACATGTTCTGGAAGAGTTGCACTCGAAACGCACTTTTCCTGATAGTTGACAGATAAGCAATGCTTTAAACGTCAACTGTCATGAAACATGCACCAACTGTTCGGAGTTGCACCGATTTTAATTTCAACATGAAAACGTCTAGAATGCAAAAATTTCATCACAATTCAAAATTTGTTCTTTATTCCAGGCTCTTGAATTTGTTTTTCGAAAAAGTACATGTTTTAGAAAAGTTGCACTTGAAGCGTACTTTTTCTGACAGTTGACAGATAAACAATAAAACGTCAACTGTCATGAAACATGCACCAACTGTTCGGAGTTGCAATGATTTCAATTTCAATTTGAAATCGTCTAGAATGCAAAAATTTCATCACAATTCAAAATTTGTTCTTTATTCCAGCCTCTTGAATTTGTTTTTTTGAAAAAGTACATGTTCTAGAAAAGTTGCACTCGAAGCGTGCTTTTTTTGACAGTTGACAGATAAACAATGCTTCAAACGTTAGCTGTCATAAAACATGCACTAACTGTTCGAAGTTTGCGGGAATTGGTTTCAGGTTTGTATTAGGAACCTTAGGTGCAATTTATGGAGTGAATATAGCCCTTATCTTGTCTTGTACACTTGGCCAATCATAAAACTAGTACGCATTTTCTTATAGTGTTGTATTGTGTAAATCGACCTTTTTTATCACCCCAACAATGACAAAAAGAGTCAAGTCAGTGTCATATTTAAACCAATCAGAACATCAAATCATATGTTGCATTTATTTTTGTTCAGTTTTGAAGTTTCTCAGAAGAGACTTTTTGTTGTTAAGCCTGACTCACACTTACTAGGCAAATTTAAAAAATATATATTGCCTGTACCAGTTTTATCTTTGGCCAAGTGTACGTTACTAGTTCTGAGAAGCAACGGATCTATTTAGTTGTTCTAAAAATATCCTAAAATCAGAACAAACACAAATGAAACCACCTAATGGCGATAAACCAAAATTACTGACGCTCCTACTATTACAAATACAAATGACCGTTGGTTAATCTCAACTCAATGATCTCAACGATGGTCACCCAAGATGGCGCTTTCTGTGAAAACTTTACCGCAAAACTATTAACACAAATTTTCAATAGCACTTACTCGAGTTGTTATTGGGAAAAACAAGTACCCGGAACCTTTTACGCTTAAACCCGAAAGCTAAAAACTCGTTCGGGCACTAGGGAATCTACATTTTGATGTGGGAACACATGAATTTTGCATCTAAAGCCTAAACAGCTTCGTTAAATTAAATAATTCAAATTAATTTCCATAAGCTGATAATGAAAATTAGTTGTTTATGAGGTGCTTTTACCATCAATATTTTTAACAGCAATTTTAAAATTCTAAAAAAAGTTATTAATCGTATTGATTCTGGTTGCATAATTTAAAAACTGTAAAGTTATTAATTTCCGAGTGTCCGAATAGGCTTTCTCGGAACCCAAAAACTACGCCCCCCGATGTTCTATTTTGCACACAATGCATACAAACGACCGTTTTCTTTGACTCGAGGGCCCAAAACTAATAAAATATTCAAACAGAACGCATAAAATTGATTTATTATTTATTTTTCAGTGGTCTCTCGACTCCAAGTTCGGACAAAGGAGTGACTCCGGTGTATCTTCGGTGTTCGGCTGGCAAAATCAAATGGATGTACCCCAGAGGTGCCTTGAGGATACTTCTAAGGTTGCCTAGTCAAGACAAAAAATTCCGTGCTTGCATTAAAGTAAAATCTAATGCTAAACCTAATAGCAGGATTTTCTTGGAAGGACCTCGATCTTTGATACCTTTATATGATGGTGACAGTGGGGCAAAACCAATAAGGTAAAACCTTCTACACATACATAAATTAAAAAATTTAAATTAATTCTTTTATATAGATGTTTCAACAGTAAACGCGGCCAAACGGCGCTTTACATTGAAGCCATAGACGAAAGATCGTTCGAAAAACAAGTAACCGAAATCGAATACGATTTGCAGCAATTACCCAAGAACTTTTACGGCTACGATCCTTCAGAAGAATGCCGCCCGTGTTCGAAAGAAGAACTAGCTCACATTTACTGCACTAGCGACCTAGTCACCCGCGGAACCATTAACTTGGTGGAAACCAACGAACAATTGGAAGTGTCGCAGGTGACCGTGAAAATCACCAAACTTATCCGGCACACTTCGGCCGAAGAATTCCTGCAGGAAATCGACTCGAACGACATAAACGTGGGTGAAGAGACTCAGAAACGAGTCACGCTCAACGTGCCTGAACATTGTGGCATCAACCACGGGCTCGGAGAGTTCGTTTTTATGGCGCGGAGGAAGTTGGGCGATTTGACTTTGTTGTGCGCTCCTCGGCTCGAAACTTGGACTTTTCTAGTGCACAAGTTGAACGAGGAGGGCAATGCGCATTGCGTTTTGAAGAGTTAGTTGTGATTTTTTTGATTTATGAGTTTGTTCTGTGATGTCTTTTGTATATTGATTAATGTAGATATGTTTATAAAGTTTTAGGAGTTAAGTTTTTTTTTTTTGGTCACACGTTGGTGCTATAATGAAATACTAGTTGACAGTGAACTATACAATAATAGTATCCATTACTAGCTCCTAATAAAGGGTTTATATTGCAAATTATATTGGCTGTGGCCATCTTTGATGTTGCTTATTTGTAAAATATATTTGTAGAAAGTGTATAGTATTTTACTGGCATGTAAGGTTTATTATCACAACACTCTTTTGACTGTCGCAAACTTCATTTCCATTTACACAAATCACATTTTGTACTTACTTTATTTTGATGATTTTGTGATAGTAGAGTGTATTTTTCTGTGGCCATTCGTTGTGATTGAATCAATCTGTTGCTTTTGAATTCTATGTGCCAATTTCAATTCCAGCAAAAACTTTTTCCGGTTTATTTATTTATAAGTATCCGGATTTCTTTAACTATAATTATTAGAATTAAGTTTTTATTTTTACTTCTGTGATAGTTGAAGCACGACAATTGTGCAAGTGCCAATAAATAAAGAAAAAATGGTCTCTTTGAAACGTATTAAAAGCTATTTTATTTAGGTTTACGGCTTATACATATAAGATGAAATCAGAATATATTGTACATAAAAATTGTGTTTAGAGATGCTACCCTATGTAAAAAAAAAACATTTATATGAAAATTCAGAGAATACACTTTTTTTTTCGTTGTATAGAATTGTTTTATTTATTTATCAACCGAATCTTTGAAGCAGGGTTGCCAGGTTTTTATTTTGAAAAATCGGGACACTCGGTAACCCTCCCCCTCAGACTAATAATAAAACTAGAGACCAAACATGCCATTTAGAAATCGCCCAATGTTTACAATCTTGATCTTTAAGTCCATGACATAAGTAAGAGGGAGATAAACCTATATATGTGTGTCAGCATCAGAAAACGGGTGTACGTCATATCTAAACCAATGACGACGTTTACGTTGTCAGTTGTGCGTCGCGTACTATCCTAACAAACTGTACCTTAAAGGCCCAATAAGATCATCCACAAACAAAGTTTTAAATTCAAATATCCCGCCAAAATCATTTTACTTTGATCCAAGCGTATAGATGGCGCCACATATATAAACTTTTTTTAACATGGGAGTTACCATTCTATATCCCCCCTCAAACTCATTATTTTATTCTATGATGGGATGTTCTATCTATCTGTGTTAATAGGTCATTGGTTCTTGCCCTTCTTGGAACTTTTTGAATAGAATAGGTCTGGTCCAACACCTCAAAAACCGTCCCATGAACTTTGGAAACCACTCTGTATACGAATTTTGGATTCTACGAACAAATTTCAGACTTTGCGCAGAATCTAGACGGTACCTACATTACCTGTATATATGTATATTTCGGCATCACTCTAGAAAGAAAAACAATAACGTTTTATAGTTGGCACTTGTCGTTGTCGACCGAACTAAAATGTTTGAAAGTAGGCAACCTAGAGGCTTATTATGCATGATTTATAAGGTTTACAAAATTTTATATAGAAATTTGCTTATTAGTCAACCCACAATTTCTCTAGCCGTTCGGCGTTGATCAAGGAAAACGCAGCCTAATAAAAGGTGTTGCCGGCCGGAAATCGGGATACATTCCCATAAATTTTTAAAAATCGGGACATTTGGCATTCAATTCGTGAAAATCAAAAAAATGACAAAATCGAGACTGTCCTGCCTAAATCTGGACGTCTGGCAACCCTGCTTTGTGGTCGGTTTCTCAATAGCGAGTCACCTCCGGGTTGGTTTTAGCTTTGTTCCAACCATTGAACTGTTCCAACCGACATGAGGACTGTTCCAGAACCAGTAAGTTCCAGTTGCCCACCTATTTTTTTTCAATAAGTCGAACGTTTATCCTACTTGACAAATGAATTCATTGACTGGAAATTACCGTTCTATAATGGTTTTCATATCGGTTGGAACAGACCCACTAAACATGCAATGTTGCAAAATTTGTCAGCAATATTGTATCGACCTTACTTTAGAAAATTTATTACGTAATGTGACGTTAAGCTTTCTAAAATATTACTTATCCAATGTGAAGGGATATAAATTTGATATAACTTCAATAAAGAAACATTCGTTTTAGTTATCAAGTAAATGTTGCAGTAGATGCAATAATGTATTACATTTGAAACATTATGAAATGTAAGTAAAGCAAATATTATAACAATGTTATGAAATGTAACTTTTCTCAACTCTGTCGCTTTAATGTTGCGGAAATATTTACGTTTGTAACTTTGAAAATATACATATAATAAAAAAAATGGTTGCATAAATATTAGAAGCTCAACTTTTCTTAAAACTGTCGCTGTAATGTTGCAGATACCTTTACATGCGTACGTTAACAGTTTCAAGAATAAAAAACGTTACCTAAATATTCCAATATAAACTTTGGAATAGGAAACATAAATTTTCTCAATGTTGCATAAAGCTTGCAGATAGATTTTATTTGCAATAATGCTGTATTTGTCTTTGTCATGCAAAAATATATTTGACTGACAAAGACGGGACAATTATTTGGAAATTCGGAACGGCGCAGACGCACCATCCATTTGTTGTTGTCCTGTTGACGCCACGCCAACAAAAGCCAGGACGCTAGGACGGAGGACGCAGACGAAGCTTCTTTTTTCTTGGCTTGATAAATAATAATAACAAGAGAATTGAACAGGACGAAAGGGTTCATCAAGTTCTTGAGAGCCAATGTTGTAAGATTTTAACATTTTAATTTTTTGTGATATTTTAATACTGTTCAATTTTTAATTTTAGGTGGCATTTTTACAATACCTATGTTGGAGGAATTGAGCCATGGCAATAGGTACCTATGGTTCATTTTTTAACAAGATAGATTTTGACATTGTCAACTTTGAAACATAAACAATACCTCTTGGCCCTGATTGGTCGCAAAATGAGGTGTCCCTGCAGGTTGACATCAATTTTACAATGCATGCCGTGCAAATGGCATTTTGCGACCAATAAGCGGCATTGTTTATATTTCAAAGTTGACATTGTCAAAATCGATCTTGGGAAAAAATAGACTGTAGCTGCGTCCGGAATTTTTTGAAAGTTTAATATCATAATGCAATTCATACATGAAAATCGACAATGACCAAACCACCGCATCCTCCGCCACTGAATATTTCAATATAGGTCGATATTTTCAGATACAAGGAAATTACGGGAGCTCCTACTAATAGTGAGACCTAATCTCCATGGCAACCGCATGGGGCAACGGCGATCGTGCCAAAAACTCAATGAAAAACTCCACCAATCAGGTTCATCCAGGCCGTATGTTTGCCAAATTGACCGTTAAAATATTTCGCATTTTCTTATTATTATTGATATTTTAATATTAAAAAATAGATTTTCCAATACTTCAAATACTACATGTATAGTATTTTTGCTTTTTTATAATTGAGTGGCAACATCGCACATTTTCGTTCAAATTCCGCAATATAAAAAAAGATAACAAATGAAATACCGAATAACGGTTTTTGAAGTGAAATTAGGCGGCGGTTTGATATTTGGATAACAATGAAGAGTGATTTCAAAAACGCGTCACGGGAAAATTTCGTTACTTGAGAGAGAAGAAACTCAAATCCAGGATTATAAGCGTAAGAAGACGCCGATACCCTTGTGACGTCACTACAAATGCGTGTCGCTCTTTTGTTATACTATACTACAGGGTGGACCATAAGTCCGTTTACATTTCAATCGAAGCCGTTATTGAAAATTTCCGCTTCAACTTGCAGCAATGTCAAAATAGTCAAGGATCACAAATATGGATGATGTATTTAAAAAAAAAAAAATCCTTATCTGTGTACTTTCGTAAAAAATAAACATTTTTTCTCCCATTTATCTATATTTTTTTTTTATCATTGTTTGAAAAGTAAAATAAAGACTTTTGGGCCACCCTATATTATCTATTGTATTTTGTGATTATTTTCGTTATTTATACATTTGTGTGCTGTGTTTTTGTTTTTTTTTTCATTACATCTGTGAACCGTCATAATGGAAGTACATATATTAAAATATTATTAAAATAGTACATTATACAGGGTGACCCAGGTAAAAGTAACTGCATGGGGATTTAGGAAACGGTAAGAGATCAGTGGCGACACGTGACCAGCAGTTTAGGGGAATAAATGGTACGGGGGGCTGAGGGGGTGCCCTCCGAAAACGCGCCGCAAATTTCAAGGTTATTCGCTTTTCCAGAACAATTATTTCCTTTGTGAGAAGAATAAAACAAAACAAAAATTTATTTTCTTCAATATATTTTGTATTTTCTTCTGGGCATCCTGATTTTTCTCTTGATAATTCGATCCTGGGGAGGGGGTAATTACCCCCATTACCCCTCCCGACGCGACGCCCCTGTAAGAGATACTATTTGGGTTGAATGGGAAAAAAGTTGCACTATTCTGTGCCCAATCAGATGCTGTATTTACATGTAGTCACTGATACAAAACTACCGAATTTTAACTAATTTGTCTATACGATGGCGATAATATTTCAATTTTTCGAAAGACACAATTTTTAGTTTTAGCTCAATATTTTGAAAACCCCTGTAGATATTTTCAATTTTGATGCACAATCTGATTGGACTTGGAATAGCACAATTTTTTTCCTTTTTGACTAAAATTGTATCTCTTACCGTTTCTGAAATCCCCATGTATTCTTCTTCTATGTGGGACACTGTGTATACCTAGATAGAGAAGTTTGTCATTATACAGGGTATTTGTCGTTATGTATAGAAACGGTTTGATATTTCAGAACTGGCTTGAAAAAAAATTACAATATTTCCTACCTGGGGGTTTTTGGGAACGCCCGATTCAATGGTGGTATTTGCAATATTGCCAAGTTTACCGTTTCTAAGATGTCGTATGTAACTTGATTTTTTTTAAATGGATGCTCTTCTTTATTTTTATTGTAATTAATTCAGCGTCCCAACATTACCAAAACCCTTAAATGCCAAAACTCCATTTTACTTGGTTTTCGAAATATGGCAACACAGATTTTTTGTTGAAATGTATGGAAATAGTCTCGTATTTCAGAAAAAACTTTAGCAAAATGTACAATATTTCCTACCTGGGGCTTTTTAGGAATGCCCGATTCAAATAGTAGTATTTGCAATGTTGCCAAGTTTACCGTTTCTAAGATGCCGTATGTAACTGCCCGTAGGGGCATCCATTTAAAAAAAAAATAAAAATCAAGTCACATACGGCATCTTATAAACTATCACTATTGAATCGGGCATTCCCAAAGGTAGTCTTTTCTGAAATACAAGACTGTTTCTTCTTAGGTTTCCATACATTTTAACAAAAAATCTGTGTTGTCATATTTCATCATAAGCCAAGTAAAATGGAGTTTTGGCATTTAGGGGTTTATACCTAAGTAGAGAAGTTGGTCATTATATACCGAGCGCTTTATAACACAACAAGGTATATAATGAATTTCTCTACCGAGGAATAAATAGAATTTTTTTTACTACTGCTAGTAGAAAATAAAAAACAGGGTTTGAAATCGATGCTCAAATTATTTTTTCTTGTCGGAAGTGCTTATGGTAATTTCCTATGATGTACATACGCAGGAACCTACTTTTTTTTAAATTCACAGTGTAAAACTGAAATTAAACCAACAGAAATCTGTTACATTATGATAGTATCCTTGCGTCATAACGTCATTTTCATTATTAACCTAGGTTTTTTTTCATTATTTTTATTATAAACCTAGGGAGAGAAATTCAATTTTTTTCTAGAAAAATAGAATGAATAATCACTATTTCTCCGGTTAGTAGTGAAAAAATGTCTTTATAAACTATTAAACAGCAAATCAAGCAAAAATATAACTGAAATACCGAAAAAATATCAAAAAAAGAAAGCATTGACACTCCAACTCCATATAAACAAAATGGGATAAGGTTAGTTAGGTTGTCTCAATTGTCTTACCTCCAGTGTCAATTTAGTGACGTCACGTGCACGAAACCAATTATTGTTAAGCGTCAATACCCTTATGACGTCACTACAGATGCGCGCCTTCCTTTTGTTATGCTATTATTATTGTTTTATGATTATTTTCGTTTTTTATACATTGGTGCTCTGTTGGAACTAATCTATGTGTCTCTCTTTTAAAACGCAATATAAAAGAAGATGGCAAATGAAATAACGAATAACGATTTTTTTTTTTAAATTCAAAAACTTTATTTATTCAAGCCCTATTTTTCCGAATCAACCTAACGTTCTGACCGTATACGAAAAAATGGGGCTTCCCGACGCTACAGTGACTCGATAAACCACAATGGCGACTATTACCGTTCTATTTTGATTGATTCTTTAAAATCCTATAAAATGACGAAATGAAGATAAAAGTCAAAATGACATTATGTTGGCAATACAATGTAAAATTGTCGCTTTCAAATTTTTATGTAGAAAAGGCTTGTGCTGCCAACATAGTTACTAAATTTTCGACTTGGGGAATTATCTTTAAAAAAAAAACAGACTTTTTTTTTTATATTCATATTGAAAATGAGCAAGAATATGGCGGCGAGGAAGTGACTTACTGTATATGCTTAATTCTAGATTTTTATTTAAAATTAACGAGAATATGGCAGTAGGACCTCTGTTGTCGCCACCATTGTTCGAAAAGAATTGAGTCACTGTAAATCGCCAAAGACGGTATACAGTGACTCAACAAACATTTCTACCTACAACTTGAGAATCTCAAGCTTAGACGATCGCCACTAGATGGTGCCACCAATACATGGCCTTTGCCCTTTAATAAAACAAAAATGTTTTTTAAATTATCCCAACAACAAAGGACTAATTTTAGTTCATACATATATAATTATCTATTACATTATCAATAAATAAATAATTCAACAGAAAAACTAAAGTGCCTAACAGAAAAAGAAACATTTTGCCTAAACTTGTAGAAGGAATGCTGCTGTTAAGTTAAAGATTTCTAACAAATGCAAACTATTTAGTAAAAATGTTCTTCCAAACAAAACCAATATGTAATTTAATTTAAACTAAAATTCTATTGACTAGGTAAATTCTTATTAACAAATACTTTGACATCTTGCATCTCAGCTTCACTAGAACTATGAGTTAATCCGCTGTAAGATTTAAATTCAGTATGAGTGAGGATTGTTTTTAGTGCTGACGCAGTCATTTGGCCCCATTTGTATGGCACTACTGGATCGCAATCGCCATGACATTGTAAAATCTAGAAACAATTTGTTAATCATAGTTTTTTCAAAAAGAGAAATTATTTACTGGAATATCATTGGGACATTTCTTTGCAGCTGGAAAGCTTTTTCTTAGAGGCAACCAGCAAGAAAGTGCAACAATACCACCCAATTTTTGAGGATAAGTTAGAGCTGTGAAAAGAGCCAGAGCGCCTCCTTGCGAGAAACCTCCCAAGACAATTCTATTGGCTGGGATACCAGCTCTAACTTCCTCCTCGATTAACAACTGGATTTCAGAGGCTGCAGTTTTGATGCCTTCTTCGTCTTCAGGACCAGATTCGTCTAGTGTTTTCAAGTCAAACCAGGAAGGCATACGGAAACCTGCATTTAAAGTGACTGGAATTGTTTTGGCAGTGGGACAGATTACTTTCATGAATGGGGCCCTTATGGCGTGCATAGCTTGAGCCCATCCTTGCCTAAAATTAGTTATATTATAGAAATTTTGGCCACGTTGTATAATAAATTGTTATTACCCAGTGTCTCCTAATCCATGCAAGAAAATAAGCTTAAAAAAAAAAAAGATAAAATATTATTTAATTTATTGAATTATTGGTAATAAATACCGTTGCAGTGTGTTTTGCGGTGGCGGACAGGATTACTGGGGCAGCCATTTTTACTCTATTACTCGACACTAATTAGATTATAACGTTTAACTAATTGGAAGAAAGTCTAAATTAGTCTAATTTTTAAATGTTTGAAAAAAAATTAATCACCCACATATCAAAATTAAACATGAATTGTCATTTTTGTCAAATAAATCAATAGGTGTGTTCCAGCCTGCCAAAAAACAGTCCCAAGAACGGTTTCAGAACTACTCGATACGAATTTTGGATTCTGCGCATAGCTTATTGCGTTTGTAGGATTCGTGCAGAAAATATTTATTTCTGTCTGTTTCTTTATCATGCTCAGAAAAAAGAATGGAAATACCCTCAGTACGCATTATCTTTTAATTAGAAATGCTATTAGGTTTTGCGCAGAATCCTGATGTATGGTTCCCTGCTGGGTTGGAACAAAAAGTTTGTTTCTTTGTGTTGTCCGGAGCAGTACTTGCTGCTTTGGGGCGTTCGTTCGTGTTATGGTAATGAACTGACGAGCATTCGTTTGTGAAGTGCAGTTTGTACTAAACTGTTTAAAAGACGTCTTTTTCTGACGGAATGTTTTGAAATATTTTGAAACGGAGGCGGTTCAACCAGTTTCGAACCGCTCTTTCAGCCTGTTTCAAAATAAACGTTAAACAGCTGATATCAAAATACCACAAAACAATAATTTTGGGGATGTCGAAGGCTCCGTTTTAAAACGGGGCATTTTTGATCACCATCAATCCGATATGATGACGTATCAATCGAACCAGTTTTGAAACGTTTTAAAACACGGTTCAGCAGAAAAAGACGTCTTTTAGAGCCGCTTTCCAGTATGCACATTGGCGCGCTCTAGAGCACCTCGGGGGCGCCACGCACTAGATTTGTACCGTTCCAGTATCATGGCGTGAGACACCTGTCTTAGTGTCAAATATGCCAAATTTCTGTTTGTTTGTGCAGTTTGTTTTTTTATTTATCGAAAATGAAAGAGAATCAAAACTATAATGGGCCAAATTACAGTATATCTGCATCTGCAAATTTGCAGTTCTGCAAATATGGCCGACTTGCAAAAGTGCTCTATTTGCAGAAACAAGCAAATTACAGAAAAAATCTGCAATTTCTTCATATTTATCGGAAAAAGTGTTTGAGCGCTACTGATTTACCATATTCAAATGTCAAAGTGATTGCAAGGACTTGCGGGACGGTTTCACCATGCGCAAATTTGCAGGCGACTTGCAAATGCGTTCTGCTTCTGTAATACGAAAAGTTAGACTTGCAGGTCCTGCATTTGTATCTTGGCGTTGCAGAGCTTCTGTAATTCCGGGCTATATTTTTTAAAATGTTCAATCTTGAGATATAACAAGAAATAAATAAATAAATAGCTACCCACCGATGTGACAGCTGACAGGTTGACGCCAGTGTTGCCACAAGCTCTTTCTTTATTGGGGCAGATTACGGCAAGATTGCGGGGTAGAATAGAATTCGTGCGGGGTAGCGACAAAAATGTTACCTACGAGCGTGCGGAAAGTAGCACTTTACCGCATACTGTACGGTAAAGTTACTTTACCACATAGTGTACGGTAAAATTACTTCACTGCAAAGCGTACGATAAAATAGACTAAACTTTGCTAATAATATAGGTGAAATTTTGTATTTAACACATGCGTAAAGTATCACTTGCCGCATTTCTAAGGTGAATAACTATGATGTTCTTACATAATTTCCTGCTTGAAGGGACAAGGGACACTGAAATTCAAAGGTCACACTGAAAAAAACCTAAAAACTAAAATAAAGAATATAAAAATATTTGTTAGGGGTACTATATGCTGGCGCTAACGTTGGAGGAATATCTAAATGAGGATATTTCAATAAATAAATTGTGTCTCATAATTTTGATTTTGTAAGTATTTTTATTTAGCTATAAACAGATGCATTCTTTTTGTGTTATAGCATTGTATTGAGAGCGGGGTGGATTTAGTTGAGAGGAGTGGCAGGGCGAGATTGTTTTCAAAAGGGGTAGATCTACCCCGAACGGGGTAGCTTTGGCAACACTGGTTGACGCGTACGTACAGCTCGGGAGCTCAACGCCTCGACTCCGGGCGTCACACTTCCATACTGGAAAGCAGCTTATGGCCGTTTGCACGGGTTCCCCTCAAAACTTACTCCTACGTAAGTGTAACCTAAATCTGAGGTGTACCCTAACGATTATTTCGTTTGCAAGGGTTCCCCTTGTCCAAAGTTTACCTAAGTGATAGGTAAAACCGGCAAAGTTCCAAAATATAGGAACATATCATGTTGTTATAGTAACTTTTTTGTCAAAATGTTAAGGTTTGTTGTTTGTTTTGATTTTTCTAGGTTAGGTTCGTGGGGTTACGTCAATGTCATTGGGTTACGTTAGGGTTGACAAACTATCGAAAAAAAAACTATCGATAGTGATATCGATAGAATGGCTTATCTATCGATAGTAACTATCGATTGTACTATCGATAGTTTGCCCTGACCAAAGTAACCAAATTTCTAATTAATTACGAAATAAATTTATCAAATAACAACAATAACATCATAACCTTAAATAAACATTAACCGCCAACCCCTATCAAGTCCATGAAAGTCACTCGTCACATTGCTCGCCATTCCTGTTAACCTAAAAATTAAAAATTGGCAGCACAGCATGTCTTCCCCAAAAAATAATTACACATTTCTCAAAACAGCTACAGATTTCTTTATATTCACTCGTTATTGATTGAGAAACCGGCCCTCAAGAGTTTGGAACACTCGAGCTACTCGCTCCAGTGTTAGTCGACCCCGATTTGAAAGGAAGAAATACGTGGTGCAACATTTTTCGAAAAGGAATAAGCGCATAACGCTACGGAGTTATTCCAGAGTTCCTCCTAGGTGTGAAAGGAATACAATTATTGCAACTGGGCTCGCTTACCCTGAAGTTAAAACCAACTCGGAGGTGACTCGCTATTGAGAAACCGGCCATTTCGAACTATCGATAGTGGTACAGGTCTATCGATACTATCGAAAATGAAAAAAATATCGATAGTATCGATATTCCTATCGATAGTTTGTTATCCCTAGGTTACGTAGAACCGAGAACCGACGTTTATCATTTTTGTGGCTATTGATCTTCTTTGTGCTGTGAAAAAAAATGAGTGAGGCGACAAACGAAGTTAGTGAAGTGAAAAAAAGGAATCCGAATTTTTCCTTTAGCGAAAAAAAAAATGTTATTGAACACTATTTTTGCCTTTAAAGGGGTAATTTCTCTCTCTGACAAAAAAAACTCTTCAACTTGGCGTCAAAAAGATTATGCATGGAAGCAAATAGTGGTATACCCAAATAGCATCTCTGTTCAACTCTCATACGCCAGAAAATCATACCATAACATAATAATATTCTAAACTCAGACCAACCACACTATACACAAACCAAAGACGCCACTACGCTAACTTTCAAATATGACAAAAAAATGACAAATTAAAATAAAATTAGTTAGGGGTCAGTTTAAGCCCAAGAAATCTTCGGTTTATTTTGCTCTCATTTAAGTCTACCTTGAGTACCGGTTCAACGACTGTGCAACGGAAAATAATTAGTTAAGGGACACCTAAAGTTAAGCTTCACTCAAAACGTGTTAAGTGGAACCCGTGCAAAAGGCCATTAGTTCATGTTCAACCTGCACTTGCTTTCGAGGAGGAAGGTTTGTGTCGCACTAACTTGAACTAAGCTGTAATATTGAAGATTATGGCAGATATAACCATAACCGTTTTCCAGCTGTGTATTAAAGTATTAATATTAGAGAGTTATTGGAATACGGCCGTCCACTATTAGTGCCGATCTTACACTATTAGTGCACCTTTAGTGGCTGATCGAAAAATGACAGTTATTGAAAGACGCAACAAATTTTCAATAGGCGTTAATTCTAACCAGTTTTAACTTGGTTTTTGTCAACGCACAATGATAGAGATTCTGTTTCTTCGTAGTTTTTAATTTTTCTGTTGTTTTTTTCTCTTGGTTTCTTTAATTCGATAATGGATGAGCTTTTATTATGATCATCTTGGATGGTGCAGATGACGATGACATGGAATTTGTAATCTTGGATAACTTGCTAGTAAACAGAAATGACCAGCCTTAAAGGCCCATTTCTGACCTTAACAACTTCTCGGATCAAGAGATAAAAGAAAATTTTTCAAATATATTTCAAAGATTTATTCTATATATGTCACTTTCACAAAAATAATAAACTTTTCCGTTGAGTTAAGTCTGATAGTTTCTGCGCATGCGTAAATGTCAAAAGTGTCAAAATACTGCCCAGCACTATTAACGCCTGGCCTTATAGAAACTCCAATATCTCTCTAATAATTAATTAATAGTTATTTATACACCAAGTGAGTTAAATGAATGTTCATTACTAGAATACCTGCGCTGCGTTCAAAAACGGCTAAAGCCGAGTCAAAATTGGCATATTGCGTTCAAGTTCGGCTCCAGCGTGCCAAAAACGGTTGGCTTTACACGTTCCAAATCGGCCGCGGTAAAGTAACTTTTGGAGGCTCTTTTAACTGAGTCTAGAAATGGTTAGACGAATTTTGATTGGATGAGACCAAATTCAATATGGCGTGGCAGCCAGCAAGTTAGTTTTGAATATGTGTTTTCATGCATATTTCAATTATTTTGTTTGTTTGCAGCTTCTATTTTGATTATTCAAAAAAATATTTGTTAACTAAGTACGTGAACTATTATGTGCAGAAACTAGATATTTTTTGTGTTTTTTGGTCCATGTATGGTCGCCACGCCATATTGAATGTCACGTGGTTTGGATTGCCTATTGAGAAACGGTATTTGGCGTTCCAGCAAATTCACACCAGATTTGGCATCGCCGGTAGAAGGGGAATAGTAGGTTTTGGCATTAGCATTGCCGTCTTTGAACGCACTCCTGAAATTTTTAGGTATACAGGTACTTACAGGTAAACAGGTATACTACTACAGGTACAGGTACGAAAAAGTGAAAAAAAATATCTTGAATTAGGCAATTCAAACCAGGTGACATTCAAGATGGCGTGGCGGCCACACATGGGCCAAAAAATACAAAAAAATATCTAGTTTCTGCCCGATTTAATAGTTAAGGTACAGTCAACAAATATTTTATCAAATAATCAAAATCAAAGTTGCAAGCAAAACTCTAAGCAGAATAATTTAAAATACGCATAAAAACATATTCAAAACAAACTTGCTTGGCCGCCACGCCATATTGAATTTTCCTTTTTGACAGATGGATTGAATTGTCTAATTGATAAATATGTAGGTTAAGATATTACCTTTCATCTCGTAGAAAAAATAGTGTTCCTAAATCGTGCGGAAAGTCTCTTTTCCGCACTTGATTGCTCGCCGAACTCCGCTGTGCGTCGAACTGCAATCGCTTGCGGAAAAGTGGTAGTTTCCGCACTAGTTAGGAAATATACTATTACCTAATAGTGCGATGCGCGACACGGTGTAAAGTGAAGACTGATCTTACCGCTATGGCTGGAGACGACTTACCTCGGGCTGATCGGTGCTTCAACACTTAACAAACAATTCTGGAAACTGGAAGGTTGCGTCGGGATCGGATTCGTACTACTGCTGCTGGTGATTTTGATCAGTCTCAAGCGTCGGCTGGTAATGACTATTATTCGCGGTTTTTCTGCTGCATTGGAATGCGGCTTGGGCCTGTAATTCGTCCCTTAGCCACGTGAATGAAGCGTTTGCTAGCAAGGTCATAGCTCATGCGTTCAAATATTACTGTACAGGGTGGCCCCCTCATCATTAGGATCTCGGTAACCGTAAGAGATACGGGGCAAATCGTTTTTATTTTTTCCCGAGCTTATTTGAAAAGCAATTTTAAAATAAATGTCATTTCATCATTGTCACTTTTTCCTCTTTAGAAGATGGTGCTACTAAATTTAAAATTCGACGTTTCGTCTTCAGGCGGCCATCTTCAACTTACGTTTTTTAAATAAAGACCTAGATTTTTTATTTGCGATTTTGTCATCTTTAGGCATCCTAAAACTGATACTGTTTATAATTTTTCAATAACACGGTAAAAAAAGCAGGTCCGTATTTAACAAAAATAAATTGATGATGATTCCAGAAGAACAAAACGTTAGATTTCAAATTTAATACCGCCATCTTGTAGAGAAGAAAAAGTGACAATGGGAATGTGGAATTAGTTTTTCAAAATCCTTTTAAATGGAATCAAGAAAAAATTTAAGAAAATCGAGAAATTCATGTTTTTTTCGTATAGTTTTAATTTTTCCCTGATTTTATTGTGAAAAACTAATTTTACATTTCCATTTTTGTCACTTCTTCTTCTTCACAACATGGCGGTATTAAATTTAAAATCCAACGTTTGGTTCCTCTGGAATTATCATCAATTTATTTTTTTCAAATACGGCCTGCTTTTTTTACTGTGTTATTGAAAAATTTTAAACAGTATCAGTTTTAAGATGCTCAAAGTTGAGGATGACCGCCTGAAGACGAAACGTCGAAATTTAAATTTAGTAGCACCATATTCTAAAGGGGAAAAAGTGACAATGATGAAGTGACATTTATTTTGAAATTGCTTTTCAAATAAGACCAGGAAAAAATAAAAACGATTTTACAAAATTTCGATTTTTTCCGAATATCTCCGGAAGTATTCGGAATCCTTCTAGTTTCAAAACGGCACTCTATTGGTCATAAAATTGCGTAGCTTTGCCATAATTTAACCGACCCCGTATCTCTCACGGTTATCGAGATCCCAATGATGAGGCTCGAATTCGGCCACCTTGTACTGAATATTTAATTATGATTTCGGAAATAAATTAGAATAATTCGCGATATGAATGTAAAATTAAGGTAACTTTGTTGCAGATTTTAAAATGTATTAAACTTGATGGAAAAATTTCCTTGACCTTGACAAAGTTAAACAGAGACAAAAGCATCATATTATTCATTATTGTGGAGGAATTAAAGTTAACTTATATAGTACACGAAAGACCAAAGACAAAAATGAAAAAAAAATTGGAAACTTGGGCTGGGATTACGACAAGTAGAATTCTACTCTTATGACGTCACCCTTGACCTATTTATCGCGTACAGTACAGGCGATGATAACGGTTGCTAAGTAATTTGACGTCATGAAAGTAGAATTCTACTTGTCGTGATCCCAGCCGAACGTTGTCAAGTCACTTAAAGTCACGGTTGACTGGTGTTTTCAAACAAAACAAATCAGCTGGATTGACATTTTTGCTCCGGTCGTTCGTGTATTAATTTTTCACTCTAATCACTTCTAGATCACATGACAAAAATCTGTTCCTACTCCACTTTAACTCCGCGCGGAATAGCCGAACCCAGCTACTAATGCCAATGCCAAACCACAGCTTGTCAAACACTGTTTAATTAATAACACTGCTTGTTCTACCATTCCACCACGGTGCTTACACCAGGGTTGCGTTTAGAAATAATACTCTGGGTGTGAGAGTGACCCTAGAGTAACTCTAAATCGTTCATAAATTAACAGGTGGTTACTCGGAGCGTTACGCTGGAATCGTTCAGAAATCGAGACATACTTGACGTGTAGAGTGCGCCCAAATTACCCCACTCGAGGACTAGGTAAAAACCGTGGGTTTGACGTGACGTGATTCATCACATTGACATTCAGCGCAACGTCCCAATACGTTCAGAAATAGCGCACCCAGAGTGCACTCCAACTGAAGACATCGGAACACTCTGACAAACAACTACTCTACCTTCGCACTCCATTTCTAAACGCGCTCCAGTTGAATTTAGCCACACGCGGTTTACGGTGGTTCCCTTCATTATTTCTTTGTATAAACAGAGAGGTGAAAACCTGCAACGTCATGGCCCTTTCCACTATATCCTCATCCCTTGATAAAGAAATCCACAAAATGTCGTTATCAGTTGAACTGGTGACACCACAACAAAAAATATCTTCTGTTCAATTCAAATTAGTGCAACACAAACAAACAAACCTTGAGTGAAAAAACTATCAGTCTTGTTGTACCAAAGCTGGGTTCGATTTGCTTACTCCAAGTACTCCATCTGTTCGGGTGTTGTTCCATAAGTGAACTAACTCTGCCTTCTACTTTAACGGAGTGGAATCAATGGATCTTATCTTAATCCAACTATTATTGCTCTAGGGCCATCTTGATAGTGTAATATCGTAATACCCTTGTCATATTGATTTCCTTTGCTATTGCTATACTTAAACAACAAAACTGACTTTCTGGCATTTTGAGGTCATAATTCTACAAGGCCGCAAGCTTATATGGAATAATTAATTAATAATTATTTTTAAAAGTCCTGTTAAACAGCTGGCAACTTTCGATATCATGTTATGAGCTACAAATTGGGTATTTTAAATAAATAAAGAATTAAATGTTTTGTGAAAGTGGCAGTAGGATATCAACCTGCTTTTGTGGTACTTCTATATACCTTAAAATTAAAATTTACTATATATAATAATATAAATTATTTTAGACAAAAAAAATTATCCTATTATCTAAAAATCTTATGACGTCAGTACCAGACCCATGCCCATATAGGTACTATTAAATATTTGTTATATTGACCCATTGCATATGCATTAATAGTACCGCAATTATTTATAGATATAAAAATCCACTTATCAAAACTCCCACCGCCGCTTAAAAACAGGCAAATTAAATTAATTCTAGTAGGTACTTTATTGTCAGTTTGGCTTATAATATGCCAACAGATAACAAGCGAGACCAGTTGAAAAGTAGGTACCCGTCTTTATATGCGGTACCGCAAATGAAAATTCTCGTCGTCGGGGAAAAAGTAAAAGTAAATTTTGTTGATTGTTGACCAGTTTCTTGACCGCACAAACCCTATGGGTTTACCTTCAATTAAAGTAAATCAGGAAGTAATTTTTTTGAAATAATTGTTTCGTGGGTTTAATTCTTGGTGCGATGGCGTGTGAAAAGGGATTTATCAATGTAATAATGCTGGGACTTGCGTTTATGTTGGTCTTTACTGCTTTCCAAACTTGGGGCAATATACAGGTAAGAATTATTGATTTGGTAGGTATAAATTTTGATTGAAAAATTAATTTTTGATTTGCACCTCTTGCTAATTCACAAGAAAGGTCAGTGGTCAGTTTAAATTTTTTTGGTAGGAATTTGTGATTTTTCTTCAGCTTTTCTATTAGACTTTTCCAATCAATTTTGTATCTTCTTCAATATTTGTAATGGTTTTATACCTATAGTCTTAATTTTATTTATTTTTATGTAGGTAAAGTTTGTTCCACCAGGGTTTGTACTTGCCACCAGCATTTGCCTTCCTTGTTTAACAAATAAAAATTGACTGAAACAAATTTATATAGGTACTTGAACAAAATTTACTTAAGTTAAGAACTTTTCCATTTTCAAATGGATGTGCCCTCATTATTAAACGCTCCTTTGAAAAGTATCTGAAGAAAACTTTTCAAATTCTTCATTATAAAAAAATCAAGATTCTTCTCAATGTCCATGCAATAGTAGTTTTCTTATTATACATAATTTCTATAATAATATATAGGAGGGAAAATAAAACCTTTTGTAAGGTTAATGCAATATGAAGCAATATTTATTTTGAAAAAATTTCACAATACCCAATAATTCACTTAAAAATAAATTGAATATCGTGTTCAATTCTATTGTTTTAATGTTTAATTTTCATACAGTTCCATTATAATCATGTATAGGATTTTATTATCAATAACAAATTTGAAAAGTAGTATATATGTGGATTTCGAGGAAATCTATCGAAAAACCTGAACTTAGAAATATTGCAAAGTTGCACTTTTGTGAGGCTTTAAAATTATCATATTGTCAAGATTTCATTGATAAAACTCGATTAGGTATTGAATGGAACAGTAAAATTGTTAAAAACACCATTTATTGCATTACCATTACCTACATGTAGGTATAGGTTGGCAACTGTAAAAAGAGCGTTTCGGACTCATAACTTTTTTCTATTATAGATATTTTTCAGCGATTCTTCTTCCAGTAGAGTAAAAATCAAACGAGAAAAAGCCACTGTCATCAGCGCTGACAAAGAAAGCAGATTTCTTTTTCTCTACATTCCTACCATTTAAAGTGAGACAAACGATAACCCGTGTGGCTTCTTCTCGTTTGATTTCTTCTCTAGAGGACTACAATCCCTAAAAATTTCAGCTCATTTGCACTTATAGTTCCTGAGACAAAATCGTGTTAAGCAATTTGGGGTGATTTATCAATTTTTCAATTTTTCTGAGTGCCTTTTTTCATAAATTTCGACTTTAAATCTGAGAATAATTTTGTTTATGGAGTTCAGGGTATCACGAGGGACCAGTAGGACACGAAATCTCGACAAAAAAAAATTTGAAATTTCATCATTTTAGTAAGAAGGTTACCTTATGATTTAGATTTTGGAAAACTTTGAAAGGTCATAACTTTTTTTCTATTATAGATGGAAAGCTGAAATTTTCAGCGATTCTTATTCCAGTAGAGGACTACAATCCCTGAAAATTTCAACTCATTTGCACTTATAGTTCCTGAGATAAAATCGTGTTAAGTAATTTGGGGTGATTTATCAATTTTTCAATTTTTCTGAGTGCCTTTTTTCATAAATTTCGGCTTCAAATCTGAGAATAATTTTGTGTATGGAGTTCAGGGTATCACGAGGGACCAGTAGGAGACAAAATCTCGACAAAAAAAAATTTGAAATTTCATCATTTTAGTAAGAAGGTACCTACCTTATGATTTAGATTTTGGAAAAATTTGAAAGTTCATAACTTTTTTTCTATTATAGATAGAAAGCTGAAACTTTCACTGAATTTTATCCCTTTCAAGGGACTACAATCCCTGAAAATTTCAGCTCATTTGCACTTATAGTTCCTGAGACAAAATCGTGTTAAGCAATTTGGGCTGATTTATCAATTTTTCAATTTTTCTGAGTGCCTTTTTTCATAAATTTCGGCTTTAAATCTGAAAATAATTTTGTTTATGGAGTTCAGAGTATCACGAGGGACCAGTAGGACACGAAATCTCGACAAAAAAAAATTTGAAATTTCATCATTTTAGTAAGAAGGTACCTACCTTATGATTTAGATTTTGGAAAACTTTGAAAGGTCATAACTTTTTTTCTATTATAGATGGAAAGCTGAAATTTTCAGCGATTCTTATTCCAGTAGAGGACTACAATCCCTGAAAATTTCAACTCATTTGCACTTATAGTTCCTGAGATAAAATCGTGTTAAGTAATTTGGGGTGATTTATCAATTTTTCAATTTTTCTGAGTGCCTTTTTTCATAGATTTCGGCTTCAAATCTGAGAATAATTTTGTGTATGGAGTTCAGGGTATCACGAGGGACCAGTAGGAGACAAAATCTCGACAAAAAAAAATTTGAAATTTCATCATTTTAGTAAGAAGGTACCTACCTTATGATTTAGATTTTGGAAAAATTTGAAAGGTCATAACTTTTTTTCTATTATAGATAGAAAGCTGAAACTTTCACTGAATTTTATCCCTTTCAAAGGACTACAATCCCTGAAAATTTCAACTCATTTGCACTTATAGTTCCTGAGATAAAATCGTGTTAAGCAATTTGGGCTGATTTATCAATTTTTCAATTTTTCTGAGTGCCTTTTTTCATAGATTTCGGCTTCAAATCTGAGAATAATTTTGTGTATGGAGTTCAGGGTATCACGAGGGACCAGTAGGAGACAAAATCTCGACAAAAAAAAATTTGAAATTTCATCATTTTAGTAAGAAGGTTACCTTATGATTTAGATTTTGGAAAACTTTGAAAGGTCATAACTTTTTTTCTATTATAGATGGAAAGCTGAAATTTTCAGCGATTCTTATTCCAGTAGAGGACTACAATCCCTGAAAATTTCAACTCATTTGCACTTATAGTTCCTGAGATAAAATCGTGTTAAGTAATTTGGGGTGATTTATCAATTTTTCAATTTTTCTGAGTGCCTTTTTTCATAAATTTCGGCTTCAAATCTGAGAATAATTTTGTGTATGGAGTTCAGGGTATCACGAGGGACCAGTAGGAGACAAAATCTCGACAAAAAAAAATTTGAAATTTCATCATTTTAGTAAGAAGGTACCTACCTTATGATTTAGATTTTGGAAAAATTTGAAAGTTCATAACTTTTTTTCTATTATAGATAGAAAGCTGAAACTTTCACTGAATTTTATCCCTTTCAAGGGACTACAATCCCTGAAAATTTCAGCTCATTTGCACTTATAGTTCCTGAGACAAAATCGTGTTAAGCAATTTGGGCTGATTTATCAATTTTTCAATTTTTCTGAGTGCCTTTTTTCATAAATTTCGGCTTTAAATCTGAAAATAATTTTGTTTATGGAGTTCAGAGTATCACGAGGGACCAGTAGGACACGAAATCTCGACAAAAAAAAATTTGAAATTTCATCATTTTAGTAAGAAGGTACCTACCTTATGATTTAGATTTTGGAAAACTTTGAAAGGTCATAACTTTTTTTCTATTATAGATGGAAAGCTGAAATTTTCAGCGATTCTTATTCCAGTAGAGGACTACAATCCCTGAAAATTTCAACTCATTTGCACTTATAGTTCCTGAGATAAAATCGTGTTAAGTAATTTGGGGTGATTTATCAATTTTTCAATTTTTCTGAGTGCCTTTTTTCATAGATTTCGGCTTCAAATCTGAGAATAATTTTGTGTATGGAGTTCAGGGTATCACGAGGGACCAGTAGGAGACAAAATCTCGACAAAAAAAAATTTGAAATTTCATCATTTTAGTAAGAAGGTACCTACCTTATGATTTAGATTTTGGAAAAATTTGAAAGGTCATAACTTTTTTTCTATTATAGATAGAAAGCTGAAACTTTCACTGAATTTTATCCCTTTCAAAGGACTACAATCCCTGAAAATTTCAACTCATTTGCACTTATAGTTCCTGAGATAAAATCGTGTTAAGCAATTTGGGCTGATTTATCAATTTTTCAATTTTTCTGAGTGCCTTTTTTCATAGATTTCGGCTTCAAATCTGAGAATAATTTTGTGTATGGAGTTCAGGGTATCACGAGGGACCAGTAGGAGACAAAATCTCGACAAAAAAAAATTTGAAATTTCATCATTTTAGTAAGAAGGTACCTACCTTATGATTTAGATTTTGGAAAAATTTGAAAGGTCATAACTTTTTTTCTATTATAGATAGAAAGCTGAAATTTTCAGCGATTCTTATTCCAGTAGAGGACTACAATCCCTGAAAATTTCAACTCATTTGCACTTATAGTTCCTGAGATAAAATCGTGTTAAGTAATTTGAGGTGATTTATCAATTTTTCAATTTTTCTGAGTGCCTTTTTTCATAAATTTCGGCTTCAAATCTGAGAATAATTTTGTGTATGGAGTTCAGGGTATCACGAGGGACCAGTAGGAGACAAAATCTCGACAAAAAAAAATTTGAAATTTCATCATTTTAGTAAGAAGGTACCTACCTTATGATTTAGATTTTGGAAAAATTTGAAAGGTCATAACTTTTTTTCTATTATAGATAGAAAGCTGAAACTTTCACTGAATTTTATCCCTTTCAAAGGACTACAATCCCTGAAAATTTCAACTCATTTGCACTTATAGTTCCTGAGATAAAATCGTGTTAAGCAATTTCGGCTGATTTATCAATTTTTCAATTTTTCTGAGTGCCTTTTTTCATAGATTTCGGCTTCAAATCTGAGAATAATTTTGTGTATGGAGTTCAGGGTATCACGAGGGACCAGTAGGAGACAAAATCTCGACAAAAAAAAATTTGAAATTTCATCATTTTAGTAAGAAGGTACCTACCTTATGATTTAGATTTTGGAAAAATTTGAAAGTTCATAACTTTTTTTCTATTATAGATAGAAAGCTGAAACTTTCACTGAATTTTATCCCTTTCAAAGGACTACAATCCCTGAAAATTTCAACTCATTTACACTTATAGTTCCTGAGATAAAATCGTGTTAAGTAATTTGGGGTGATTTATCAATTTTTCAATTTTTCTGAGTGCCTT